TGTACATCACAGCGACATAAGACAGCGCAGCATTTAACAACTGGAAAGAAATTTAATTTTATTATATATTCTTATTTTTATATATTCTTATACTTTGTTACATTCTTCTATTTTTCTTATTTCTTACTGTGGCGAAACTTTCCAACTTTGCGATGAACATAGAGCCAATCGTGAAATAAAATTCTTTACCAGTTTTTTGCATTAAAAATAAAATTAATTTTTGTGATGATACAGGCATTAAGTACCATGATGTATCATATCTAAAAATTTGATTAAGACTGAAAAATCTTACTTTGATAAAAATCTTATTAAATCGTATTATGAAAAAGACTATAAGATTATATAAAAAAACTTATATTGAGATAAATAACAAATTTCATGCGAGAATTTCATGGATGAAATTTTATTGTTTTAATTACTACTTAACTGTTTTATTTATATTTCTTATTTGAGAGGAATAAAAGAATTATATATTCTTTTATTTTCACAAATTCAGTGTATAACGATTAGCAAAGTAATTTTTAATTTTTTAATTTAAAGGGCTATAAATAATAATTTAAAAAAATATTTTTGATTACTGAGTGATAAGATTGATTACTTACGATAATTTGAAAAGTTCGTTATTGTAATCGATAACTTTCTGTCCAATGTAATTTGCTACGAACATATAAACTAAATGGCCTGTTGTGGTGAAAAAATACATTGTAAAGTTTTCCATGTTCTTTGATATTATTACTGCTTCAACAAACTGTCGCATATGAGATTGTAATTGTAAATTAAATTTAACGAATTATTACAGCACAGACAGTCTAATTAATACACAGACATTTGCATGTAATAGTACATATTATTTGAAGCTTTACTTACTCCATATAAATTGATGCTTAATGATATTAATCCGACAATAGTTATGATGCAATATGGTATATTAAATGATGATATCATAATGTTGCAAAAGCTTTAAAACGATAAAAATATTACAGAAAGAGACTATTAAATAAAGAAATTATTATGCATATGATAGAAATAGTAGAAAGTAAAATCTTTACAAATAATAAAATCTTTACATTTAAGTAGGAATTAAAATATTGTCTCGAAAAGAGGAAAAAAGAAGTTACATTCCCAAGATAAAGGCATGTGTACGCACTAAACTGTACAATCGATTTGAATCTCTTACATTCATTCTTTTTAATATTTAATATTATTTTAATATTATATGTGTATTTGAAAGTATTGAGAACAGAAAAGCGGTAGAAATAAGTATGAAAAGAAATGCTTTTTTTAAAGAGAAAATGTTCTAATTACAAGTTATAAAGAAATAAATAAGATACCAACTCCATAGCTCTACGATGCGCAATTACAACATGCATTATTCTTCTGTAAATTGCGCTTTTCTTTCCTGGATTTGGTACATGTAGTACGCTATCCTCGATGGAATATTCTATTCGATGACTGCAAATATTTTCAAGATTAATTTATGATTTTAAGTTGTCAATATAATTTAATCGGTACCTGGAATTTTGAACATCCCAAAAGAGTGACAGCTAAATACTAACAATTGTGACGACGTCGCAAATAGTATTGATGTATATATTACAATAAGTACAATTTCATGCAGTATTTTAGTATAAAAATACTTATTATGTAAAACGAAATATTCCGCCATAATAATAGGTTTACGTGGTCGTGGTTCATCCAATGGTAAAACAATGTCAAGGATATTTGGAAGAAACTGAACCATGACTATACCGATTATTACAAAATTGATGCTCACTGTAAGGTATGTAAACAAAAGACCTTATAAATTTACACGACATAATTAAATGTATTAAACTAGTATACATAATTATTTTATGCATTTTTCGCGAATATTTATTTCCGAGTATTTATTTCTGTAAGCAAAAGAGCATTTTATTTTTGGAACTAATAAAGTAAGTCAATTTCTTAAATATTTATAATGTATTTGCCATAAAATGATATGATATTGGAGTAAAATACATATTTTAATTTCACATCAAAGCAATATATAGAAAATTTTTTCTTGGATATTATAGATTAAAGGTAAAACTAATAGTAGTAGGCATTTGTTAAAATTATTATTTATGTATTAATATTTTTAAATAAACTATAAAAATAGATGTAATAGAAATCAACAAATGTTTTCTTACAAAATATATAGATATTGTAAATTTGAGAGTTATGAGCATGTTTTAATATAATCTTGCTTTCTAATTCAGTTCGTATTATCCTCCAATCCTCCCGGATAAGATAGTGCAGATTTTGTACCTGTCATTTAAATATTTATTTGATTATTGTCTATTGAAGTAAGTTTGCAAGTGAAATCTACAATCAGTATTTATTCAAACTTAGAAATAACTTAAAAATACAATTTTAGAAATAACTTACAGATTTTGACTTCAAGATAAAAGCACAGTATTTCATTGTAATTAATATACAGGGAAAAGCACACGACGTAATTTTAATAAAAAAGAGCCATATTATATTTCATTGTAATAAAAACTGAT